TTTTTTTGCCTGGCATGGTGGCGCACGCCTGCAATGCCAGCACTCTGGAGCTGAGGCCAGAGGATCGCTCTGAGTTCGAGACCAGCCTGGGCTACAAAGCGAGCTCAAGGCCAGCCTCGACTGCACAGCGAGACCTTATCTGAGAAAGACAAAAACGAAATGTGCAGGTATCAGGGTAGGAGGCAATGAGAGAGGCTACCCCTGAGAAGTAACCAAAATATCCTACAAGCAACTCCTAATTTGACAGTGTCTGACCGAAAGCAAGACCTTTGGAAAGAGTCCAGCAGCCCTTTCATCTACCTGTTATTCAAATGGGCCACCTACCTTCCCTTTAACCTTTTCTCCACTTGAAGGTGGAGGATGTTCGTGTTAGAGGCTGCAGTGTGGAGTGCTCGCCTTTGTTCCCTGCCGTTAGTAAAGTGAGGGAAACCTCCAGTCCTCTGTGCTTGATTTACTTTGCGGTTGACTGGGTAGTAGTGTTTATATTTAACATTGGGAACGTACTGCAGAATGAGAATTATTTTGGTTGCTTGATGATGCAGCAACCAGTCCTTTAAGTAGTAATTAAGAAATATTTATGATAATTATAACTCAGTCCTTTCAGAGCATGGGAAGGGTTATGTATTTATGCATTAAGAGTTTGAAGGAGAGAAAGTAAAAGCAATTGACTTATTGTATAACTCAAACAACCACTTTAAATCCTGTATTCAAAGTACAGTTTACTAGACCAAATTAAAGTTTGGACTAAATGTGTTCGTTCCAAAATAACATTTTCTGGATTGAAATCATAATTTTCCCAAGTCTAAGCCCCAGTTATGTGTATCAGATGTAGTCTAGTAGCTATAAAAAATCCATCCCAGTCTCTACATTGAAAGTAAATAAAGATCAACTCATTTAGTTTGATCTAACAAAATGCAGGTTACTTTACACTTTACTTGCAAAATTAGCTATTGAGTACTTCTATGTCGTGGAATAGGGAATGTCTTTATCGAGAACACATTCCAATGCTCACTGCCCTCCACACACAAAACCTCAACTTGTTTGAAACAATGCAAAGCTGTTAAAACACTGTCAGGTATTTCCTCAACCTCTTCTACAGCGACAACCAAGTTTAATTCCCTGTTCGCTAGGGGGCACCAGTCACATGTGAGAAAATCAGACCAGCGCTGTTAAGTATTGCTAGGTGTGCCAATTCTGCTGGTATCACCTTTCCTACTCTACCTAGAAACACAATATTCTTATTTATATTTATGAGCTGTCCAGACATACACGAAGAAGCAGAGCCATTGAGCTTATCCACTCTGGAGCTCTGGCCCACAGAATACAGTCCAATATACAATTCACAAGAAATTCGTAAATACTAAGGACTGCCTAAAGCCAGCGCCTGCTGCTATGGCTTCACAGTTCATCTGTTGAACATTTAATCCCCAGCACAACAGGGTTGGGAAGTGGAGCCTGACAGGAGGGTTTAAGTAATGAGGGCCCCACCCTCATGAGGAGGTTGATGCTCATTATAAAAGCTCTAGAAGCTGTGAGTCTGGCCTAACACAAGTGCACAGTCTTTTCCGCATCCACTTGCCACCACGGGATGACGGCAGGAAATCCCTTCCCGGAAGTAACCCCTCCTCCACCTTGGGCTTCCCAGACTTCCAAACTGGAAGAAAGAAATCTCTGTTCTTTGTGTACTACTCAACCTTGGGTATTCTAGCATAATAAGACAGAGGACAGGAAAGAGGGACCAAAAAGGGAGGGAAGGAGAGAGAAGAGAAAAAAGAGAAGAGCATGATTTGTTCTCTTGTCTAAAAAAACCCTGTACTTGGTTGTTTATATCAGCCTTATTCACTATCACCCAAACTGGAAGCCATGTTGATGCCCTTCACTAAGTAGATCCATTAACGTACACCATGTTATACAACAGAAAATTACTCAGCAATTAAATAAACTACCAGGGCTGGACAAGACGTAGATGACACAAAAGCAAAAATGCATATTGCTAATTGTAAAGAAGTGAGCTAAAAAGTCTCCATGGTGCTAATTGCTGAACATTTCTGGACAAGCAAAAGCATAATGATGGCAAAAGGATGTGAGAGCAGGAAGTTGGCTATGTGAAGTGGAGATCATTTTTTAGAAACTAACCTATGTGATGTCGGGCTTGTGAACCAATGATGCTGTGTTCCCCACAACCCACAGACATCCAAGCAGAGAGGGAGACTTAACACACACAGATTTTTTTTTTAATCACTTAGGAGATTGGGCAATCCCCAAATGAATACAAACGGTCCCAAAAGAATCTAATTGTATTTCAAAATGTAAGAATCACAGGGCTGGGGAGATAGCTCAGTGCAATAAGTGCTTGCCCGACAAGCGCCCTGAAGGGGATTGAGGTAAAAGTTTCTGACATACGTGCATTTGGAAGTGAGTAGTCCGCAAGACGCGGACAATGTGGGCTATGGCGTTAAGGCCACATGCTCTTCTTGGTGCGGCTTTTTCCCGGAGGGGAGTAACAGCTCTGAGCCTGCTCCATGCGTACGCTAAGGTCAAGCCTGTAAGTCTGTGGATGGCAGATAGTGGAAGTGAGGTAGAAGTGCTTCTCAAAGGGTGAGTCAAGGATAGAGAGAAAAGTGGAACACTGTAGATCATTTCACTTGGATAAAGTTCCTTAAAGCTGATGAAGCTGAGCTGGTTCTATCCATTCTGGGTAAATGGAAATTATTCTGGCAAACTGATTCACCATTAGTGTGTGTGTGTGTGTGTGTGTGTACGCATGTGTGCGCGCATGGCCAGCTCAGCCTGCACTGGGGGTGAGGCTGAGGTGGCATGTGGTGCCAGGGATCAAACCGCAGTCCCTAAGCTTGCCTAAGTAGGTGCTTTAGACCACTGAGCTAGCTCACCAGCTCCTGAGTCACCATTTACTAGCTTTGTGCACTATTACTACGAAGCCGACGCACTAGCATGTGGTGCTTGGCCTTGGGGGTAGCTTTCTCACCATGACGTTAGATGGGCGGTACATGGTGGACTGTAAATGCACCTACTGCAGATTTACAAGAAATATGCTCAAGTAATATTTTTAAGGTATTAAAAGTCCAGGGCTGGCCAAACAGCTCAGCACATTAAAGCGCCTGCTTAGGCAGACGCAGGGGCCAAGAGTCTGATCTCTGGGCCTGTTGTGTCACCCCACCTCCCCTGGGGCACACTGAGACTGAGATTAAGACTGGGCGTGGTAGTGCCTGTCATCCCAGTGCTTGGGAGGCTATAAACAGGAGGATCTATGCAGTGAGACCCTGTAGACCCTGTAGAATCTGTAGAACCTCTAGACCCTGTTCTAAAATTAAAAAGAAAAAGTTAAAAGTACAGAAACACTAAACAAGCATTTATAGCCATACTATGAAATCTATAATATTTTTTCTATTGCTTTTAGCTCATTAGTGCAAATTTTCTGCGCTGTCATTACTGTATTGCTTTGTGCTTCCAGTTTTTTCCACTCATGACTTCAGAGACAAGTACCCCAAGCATACAGTGACCCTTCTCCTATTGTACGTACAGTGGAATACCAGAGTTGGAGTGCTTAACAGTATTCTTTTTCTCCTTTAACAAAGGATGTTTATTTTAAAAAAGGCCTTAGGGACACATGTAGCAATGTATACATAGTGCCAAATTGACAGACAGAAAATGAATAACTAAAATGGACAAATCTTACCACCTCTTCTTCAGCCAGGTTATCGGGGTCACCATCAATTATGACTTGACAAGCGCTGACAGTGTGTGCCTTTGCTCTATCGTGATGAAAAGGACACCACAGAAAGGCCGCTGTGTTTTTTCTCCCCCAGAGTCTCATCATGTGAAAAGTACCAGGTAAGTTCTGACTAACAGACATTCCATAAAAAAATCTAAGTAGTATTCCTCTGAACCATCAAGGAGGCTGGGCACAGTGCGCAGCTCAGGAGACTGAGGCAGAAGCAGCCTGAGTTCAAGTCCAGCCTGAGCAACTTAGCAATGTAGCGAGAGCGTGCTTCAATATAAAAATCTTAAGAGCTGAGATGGGGTGTGCTGGAAATGGAGCTCGGCACAGAGACCCTGGGTTCGGTCCCCAGCACAGAATGAGTAAGCAAGTAAGTTTATTGAAAAATCTGTCAAGGAAATCAAACATAAGGAAAGTCTGAGAGGCTGTGGGGCTAAAGAGACATGGAACCCATAAGGCGGTACCTGCAAGAAAAAGGGAACATCAAACTAGAACTAGGGAAAACTGAATGAAGTGTGAACTCAGTATTGGCTCAG